TTCTGATTACTTTACTTATTTTTTTTTTAATTTAACTAAAATTTCGATAAGATATAAAAGATAATTAAATTAGTTAATGAATAAATAAAAATGATTTCATTTTTTGATAATTGAATTTATAATTAAAATACGAAAAAAACAAACATTTTTTTCATTGATTTATTGATCGATAATTTACCGATCAATTATTTAAATTTTTTGAATTTATAAATTCTAGCGCCATCTATGTAACTGTTTTGAGTAACGCTAGAATTAAATAAATCGCAATAATAGAGTTGATCAACTGTTTCGAGTAATTTTAGAATATCTAGACACGCGTCGCTACTGCGAGTCTCACTCATTGTTTTGTTGTGATTCTTTGCCGCCTGAGCTTCAGTTTTCTGAGAAAGAGATACAGATCACATTGTTAGTGGCAAAATAAAAATTTTCGTATTATTTAGTCGCTGCTCAAGCGTGGATTTTTCTATCGACAACGTATATTGTTCGTGAAAATACATTATAAAAATATAGTGTAATATTATCTTTGTGTAAAAACCGAGAAGGTGATGGATCATAAATGAGATTGTTATTAAATCAAAATTGTCTGTTCCATTGTCAACATTAAAGTGATATTTGTGTATAAATTGTGTGTTAAGTTTTGTAACAATGGATGAGTTTGTTAAACAACTTTTAAAAAAGTGGAATCTAGAAAATTTAATTGATCATTTCAACAGTAAGTAAAAAAACCTATTTCAACAATAGTATTCTTTATTCAAATTTAAAATATGAAAAATTGATTTATTTATAATAATTAGTGTTCAGAGGAATTAATAGTTTCACTCAAAAAATTTTTTAGGTTAAACTCAATTCTCTATATAATTTATATTCATTCTCAAATTTTGTTACTTTTACAGTCAATATAGTTGATAAGAAGTTTTTACTAATTTAACTGATGCCCTTATTGTTGAACTCATTCCACAAATTGGATTAAGATATAAATTCTTAAAAGAATATAACAATTTTATGTCGAAATATAATAAATCGTGTTTTATTATTAATAACGAAAGTATTCATATAATTGAAAACAATAATAATGTAAATCATGATGATAGTTTAGAAGAGTCAAATCTTTTGCTTGAATCAACTATCAGCGGTCTTAATGAAGTTTTTATTTCAAATCTCAATTCTATTTCTAATGAAAAAACAATCTCTCCAATTCCAAAAAAAAAAACTGCACCAACTTCAAATCTTCCAACATCGAAAATTCCTATTATGCCTCTGTCTTCAACATCATCCAGTAAGATTTCCAGTTCTTCCTTTCAAATGTATTTATTTACTTTTTTCTGTGTCAATGAATATTAGGAAACTCTCAAAATGAAATTAAACCTATATTAAAATGTTTTCGTGGAAGGCTTATTCTAGCAGAATTTAATCTTAAGAACACAATAAACCGACGGTTACTCACTAGTGTAATCATTGAATCAGAATTAGAAAACAGTAAAAAATTCAAGTACGTAGCTATTGATGGAATATTTTAAATTATGTTTTGGGAAGTTGAAAATTAACTTTCTTTATAATTGTTTTCAATTAGGATTACAGCTGAGAGATTTAAAAAGTTGACAAAAGATCTAGTAGAATTATTTCCTGATGAAGAAGAAGACTTATATTATACACCCTGGACAAAAGGCACAAATGGTCCTATTGGTGCTAGAGGACTTCTGTATGATAATATATCAATCTGAGAAGAACTTTATTTGAATTAGAAATCCTTACTTCTGATTCTAATATAGATCAACGTAAATATTTTTTAAATTCGAATAACTTACACTATTCAATATTTTTGTTTTTTAAAAATGATGAAATTAGCTTTTTTTAATTTTATTCATTCAATAATTGTTTACTATTCTAATATCTCTATTGATTATTTTTTTAAATTATAGATGAAATAAGCAATACAAACGATATTTTACCGTTGAGTGATTCATTATTATGGCTTAAAAATCATATAGAACCATTTAGTGAAGTGCTTTTAAAATGGCAAGAAAGTTTTTAAAGAAAGATTGGCTTATCATACAGAACGAATTGATATGTATTTTATACATTCAATGTATTGAAGACACCATCTGCTTATTTATTGGTAAATTTCATAGTTAATTCCTCTGAATAAAAGTATTATAATATATTGATGCATGTATTAAATACAAAGGTTTGCAAATGAAATTTTCTGTTACAGTTTGAATCAGATTTAAACAAATTCATAAAGAGGCAGTTGATAAATTAATTCTAAAATGGCCATCGGTTGCAAAAAAAATTATTAATATTAGTAAGAAACGAAAAGATTATCAAGTATCGCAATACCTCAAGACTAATAATATATTATTGGCGAACGATTCAGGTAACTTCATTTGTCTTAACGACTTAAATATTAACGTTAATTGTAATTTTCATGACTATATTTTCTATAAAGATCTTGGTAATATTGAGATTATTGCCCTTGAATTACTTCCATTACTATTGGGTACAATAAACAAGAAATCTAAAAAATCAGGAAAACATTGGAGACCAAATATAACTGACATTAAGCAATCATTTCTTTTTCATGCAGAGGTAAATAAATTTTTATGAATTTCAACTCCTTCAAAAACGAAGTGTTTCAGAATTTTTTGAATTAAAAAATATTACAATCTCTGTTGTAATTTTTTTAACATTGCAATTCAAGTTTCAGTTTCAATTTTATTGTTTTTTTTTCTACAGACTATTGATGAACTACAACCATATATAGAAAGCAAAATTAGGATTTACAAGCAGCATAAATTGACTCTTCAGCCTTTGTAGTCATCATTGGACTATTAGATAACATCGAAAGTTCGTTTGTAGTAATAAATGATCAGCGATATGTTTTACCTACCCCCTTAAAAGCAATAGACACATGTTTTAAAATCATACACGCATTGAATGCAACTTACTCAGTAGAGTGTGAACACGTTTGGGAATTTCTAGAAAAATACATTTATGAAGTTACAAAAAAAACTTCATCATTTACATGTGTCAATCGTCTTATAAGTGATTTAAATAGATATAAAAATTAAATGTTAAAAGACTATAAATTATAATTTATCACATTCATTTTTACATATTCAAAATGAATATGACATTTGATGATTTTTCTATTAATTTAGAAACATTTTTGGGTAAATTCTGGTTATCATTGTATAACAACTCAATGATACCACGAAACTGTGTTCAGTTCATCGTTGAAGAATTGACAAAATTTATTAGAAAACTTTACGTTCCATATATAATAAAACAAATTCAATATTATTTAATAAATAAATGTGAACAAGTTGTCATTAATGATATTCCACGTATACTTAATTCTGCTATTAGTTGTTTTGAAATATTTTCAACTGAGCATAGAAGATTAAAATATTTTTATGACAAAGGATTTCTTGTATTACCTATTCAATATAAAATTGGTTCAAGAATTGTAGAATCTAAACGCAATGGAATTATTGTTTCAGAACCAAAGGATGTGTTTGGACAATATATTCCTTTAAAAAATACATTAAAATCGATTTTTAGTATACCTGAACTATACGATAAAACTAAAAGTACGTTGAGCATTTGAAAAATGAACCAGAAATTTTATCTAATTTTATACAAGGTGATCTTTGGCGTTCTAAGACTAAAAATCATGGAACTAAATTCTTTTTACCACTTTTTATTTTTTCGATGATTTGGAGGTCGGTAATGCTTTAGGAAGTCATGCAGGAAACAACAAATTAGGTGTTGTATATATGTCTATTCCATGTCTTCCAAAGCAGTATGCTTCACGATTAAGTAGTATTTTTTCTTGTTTGTTTATTCTATTCTAATGACCGAAAAGAATTTGGCAATAGAGCAATATTTGCAAAATTAATTGAAGAATTAAATGATCTGAAAAAAAATGGTATAACAATATCTATTAAAAATGAAAATATTAAGATATATTTTGAATGTGGAGCTATTATTGGTGACAACTTGGGATTGCATTCAATATTCGGTTTTGTAGAATGCTTCAGTGCAAACTATTGCTGTAGAATATGCGAAATTCCTTATCTTGAAATGAATAATCAAACTACTGAAAATGTAAGGATTTTGCGTAGTCCAGAAAAATATGAAAAGAGTCTAAAAATAAACAATTATTCACTGACAGGTATTAAAGAAAAATGTATTTTTAATGAAATAGATGATTTCCATGTTTGCATAAATCAGACTGTTGATATTATGCACGATGTGTTGGAAGGCACTGCAAATTATACAATGGTCATTGTTTTAAATCACTTAATTTTTGTTGAGAATCGATTTTCTTTAGACACTCTAAATTCTAGAATCGATACATTCAATTATGGTAAACTAGAACTTTCAAATATGCCTCCATTTATATCAGCCGATCATATACAAATTAAAATGTCTGCTGCAGAAATGCTCTTTTTTGTACGTTATTTTGGATTAATGGTTGGTGAATTTGTAGAAGAGGATAACTGTGTTTGGCAATTATATCTGAAATTAAGACAAATAGTTGATATAATAACATCACCTAGAGTGTTGAGAAGTCATGTTGTATTGTTTAAAACATTGATTGAAGAGTTTTTAAGTTTGTATTTAAAATTTGCTTCTCATCTACAATTTAAATTTCATATAAAACTTCACTATCCTGCAATTATGTTGAAATGTGGACCACTAATGCATTTATGGTCTATGAGATTTGAGTCTAAAATCATGAATTAAATCTACCGCAAATATATCCGGATCAATGAAAATATATTATTAACTTTGACTTTAAGGCATCAATTAAAAATGTGTTTTACAAATTATAATCCTTGTATTATTCAAAAATACATTAATGGTCCAATTATACCTAATTATAACATTGATAATCATATAAAATCTGTATTTGGTACTAATTCCAATGTCAAAGCTCTAAAATGGATAGAAATTATGGGTCAAAGATTTGAAAAAGATTCTATTATAGTTGTAGACTTAAGTCAGGAAGGACCAGAATTTGGAATCATAGTAAACGTTCTGCAAATTAATGGAAAATTTTACTTCTGTATCAATCATTATACAACACTCGGGTTTAACAGTCATTATCATGCGTATAAAGTAATGAAAAGTTTCAAAAATTGTACTAAGAAACAAGTTAGTAAATATTTCTTCATTAGGAAATATAATAAAATGTTTGTTAATAAATAAAAATGGCTCATTGATGATTACAACTAGGTATTCATTATAATATTTTCATGTAATGAAATTTGTATTGTCAATGGAATTTTCTATTTTGAAATAAAATTCATGACCAGTAAATTGTTAAAGTGTTGTAAACTGTTTTCCTCAGTTTTCTTAATGACTCGTAATTACAATTATTTGATGATAATTCAAAACATTACTCATTATCTTTTCTGGTTAGTAAAATGCTATAGTTATGTTTGTAAAAAATTTGATGTCAAACTAACATAAAACTGTGGTAAAAAATACTGCAAAATATTATTGTAAATTCTACGGCAAATGCTATTGTAGATTTAACATCATTTAACCAGAATAAAATTAACTGCATTTTTTTTAACTATACTTTTGATATAAAAATTACACCTACGCATGTAGATTTTACATCACTTTTTTTTCCGTGCAGAATTTTAAAAAAAATTTCGGCAACCTTAAAGATTTCGGCAATTTTCTTGGGTTTATAAATTTATTGGATTCACTGTAATATTTATTAATGAATTAATCATCACTTACATTAATCACAAAACTTTCTTAAATTGTGTACAAAAATGTCCTCTTTTTGTTTTTTTTTTGAATAGTCTTTTAATTAAAACACAAACACCTTCATTGTGAGATAAAAATAATTTTAATTTGTACAGATTGTACTCCCAAGGGTCAACCAAGTCACAATTTATTCTCCATTGTCTCCAAATACTCTACTATATTGTATTTAAAGAGTTGATATAATAATAAGTGAGTGTTTCCAACACTAAAAGGCTAAATTGACGAGAATTAAGCCAAAAATAATGGCGACTGACAGAATAACAAATAAAATGAAAGGGTATGAAAAAAAAGGTCACATAGTATGATGAGTCATCAGGGTAATTACCGAATATCAAACAATAGTACATAAGTTGATATAAACGAGTACATATTACCCTCCTTATGTCAATTTGTCTGGGTGCTATATATTACACATGAATTAACAGTTATTAATTGAACTTAATTGTTTTTGTTAGACAGACGTTAAATGGGTTTACAAGTTGTTCACACACGTGACTCATCATTACTAACTGCCTATATAACATACTCTACTCTGAAACTTGTGCACATTCATTTGTTCGTGCACCAGTAAATATACATGTTTATAATACAGGCACACATATGTAATATAATTTCTCTCCACGTGGGACAGATACAGATCTAGATACATGTGTAGAAATCCCAGTGCCTATCTGCTAATTCGCGAACGTCCACGCGCCATTTCCCATCCCTTCATTTACCTTCTTCGTCCCCAGTACACACACACAGACACATTTATCTGTCTGTATTTGCTATTCGTTCGCATTTACTGTTCGTTTGAAAATCGTGACTGTTGCGTGTTTATTTTGGCTTGCGTATGCTCGTTATTTCGTGATAGTAATAGTATAAAAGGCAGTATAGCAGAGAGAAATGTAGAATAACAGCCACGATATACCAGAGAGCCGATGAAATATGTTTTACGCCGGAACAAATGCGATATGAATGTTGGATGAGACTGTTCAAATTGCACGAAAGCCTTGATATATTTGATAAAAATTCATCTGGCTAATTTAATTACTAACGATACACAAAAAAAAAAAAATTCCACTACACATTTTTTCAATTCTCATTTTTAGCTTATATTATTTATGACATTTCAATTTAAAAAAATCATTTCCTTCTCTCTACATCAAACGGAAGTCACGAAATGAATTCGTGAGTCACTGTCTACATATGTACTTAAATTTTAACGTTCCATCGCTTTCGAAGAAAGATAATATAACACATAAAAGTCAGTCTGTGTGCGCTTTTATATCATAATAACACGTCATCGGAGCTGTAGAAATGAGTACACATATTGAGATAATAGAATTTCAGGTATGCAGACGTGGAGTTAATGAAGCCTTTAACTCGCACTCTACCTTACCTGATGGAACGTGAAAGTTACAATAAGCCTTGTGTTTCGTAATATATAAGCCGACAGCGTGCTCTAAGCTACTATTCAAATCAGGTTAAACGGTAAATTATGCTTCAATCTTTTTGTTCTTTCTTACAATAGACTGTAGTCATGATGAATTTTCTTTACTTTTCATCTATAATTATCCGTAATTATTTGCTGAAAACAAACTATCTTAATAATTATTAATCTAACGTAAAATAAATTGAATTATTTTGTTTCATCTTGATGGACATTGATGAAAGATGGAAAAAAGGATCAATAGGTCGACTGATGTCATTGATTCTTTGGATCTGAAATAAAAAGAGGTTACTAAATTAGTCTTGAAACTATTAACATCTTTATTATTTTATTGTACTCTAGAAAAAGTTTATAAATAAAAATTATAAAAAAAATAAAATAACTTGAAAAAAAAATATTACAATCCACTAAAAGTTATTTCTTCTTTTATATGAATAGGAAATAATTTAGCTATGCATAAGATAGAGTAATTATAGGACAGTTAATTTTATTTTTTATTGACAATGATAAGAGACATGATAGAGAAACAAAGTATTTTAAAACTCTAACTCCAAAAACATATTTAGTTCAAGCAATGTAAATATAATTTAAG